TCCTAGACCAGTTGATATATCCTAACCTGATAGATGTTTATGTCATTAGATGCTATGGTGCCAATTACCTCCTTATCAACCTTTATTTTCTATTAATAATAATGACATGTGGCTAGATGTGGTGGCTCATGTCTGTAATCCCAGCACTTTGGGAGGCTAAGGAGGGAGAATCACTGAAGCTCAGGAGTTTGAGACCAGCCTGGACAACATAGTGAGATCTTGTCTCACTGAAAATTAAAAAAAAAAAAAAAAAAAAAGCTGGGTATGGTGGTATGCACTTGTAGTTCCAGCTACTTAGGAGGCTGAGGCAGGAGGATCATTGAGGCTGCAGTGAGCTGAGATCGTACCACTGCACTCCAGTCTGAGTGAAAGAGCTATACTGTGTCCCAAAAAAGAAAGAAAAAAAATCTCATTTGCTGGTTCTTGTGGGGAGGTGAGTGACTGAGACAGGCCACATCTGGTGTAAAGACTGGGGGAGGGGGCCAGGTGCAGTGGCTCACTCCTGTAATCCCAGCATTTTGGGAGGCCGAGGCAAGTGGATCACCTGAGGTCGGGAGTTTGAGACCAGCCTGGCCAACATGGTGAAACCCTGTCTCTACTAAAAATACCAAAATTAGCCAGGCATGGTCCCAGCTACTCAGGAGGCTGAGACAGGAGAATCACTTGAACCTGGGAGGCGGAAGTTGCAGTGAGCCAAGATTGCGCCACTGCACCCCAGCCTGGGTGACAGAGTGAGATTCCATCTAAAAAAAAAAAAAAAAGACCAGGGGAGGGAGGGGCCAAGAGGGGGCCGAGAGGGGGCTAATTTACCTGATTCTCACATAGACGGGCATCTGTTTTCCTCTGTCAGTTCTTAGGACTCTGTCTGGATGATGCATGCATACCCCACTCCTTCGTGGGGTGCCACCAGCCTCTTCCCCCTGCCAAACCATCCTGAATCCTATAGTAGGAAGAGAATCCTGTAGCCTTTCTCAGCATTTTGCTATGAAGCTGTTATCCCAGCTGAAAATGTTCAGTGCTACCCTTACCTCCTGTTCTACACGTGTTAAATAGCAAACATTTTAGCTCGTATAGATAAGCCCTCGTGGAGCCTTCCTGTACCCAGGCTCACGTTAGTACCTCTATGGCCCTTACTTCTGTTGCTGTATACCTGAGTTATACTCTTCTATTTTTATAATTGCTAGTGTATTATAAACTCCTCAAGGGCAAGGCCCCAGTCTTCACAGTGCCTGGTGCACCCAATGAATTTAGGAAAGGAGCTTGTTCTGGTAGGAGCTTTTCTTATTTTGTCACCATCACATCTGTGTCTTGTTCTTTGAAATAAGACAGTGAGGGGAAGACACCCCTATTACCTATTCTAGTAGGGTTGGATAAATCCACAATGAGCAGAGTTGCTGAGTGTATAAGTTTTTTTTGACAGATACTGTGGTCTCTGGGACATATCCTACCTACATTGCTGGAGAACGTGCTTTACAGGAAGAGTTTCATTTGAAAGTCAGCAGGGATTTGGGTATTTTGGTGGAAAAATGGAAAAACTTTCATCTTTTTAGGGTAGTGATCAAAAGCTCTAGCTAGATCCATCATGTTAATTTTTCTTCTATAAATATGTATGTTTCATGATTAATATACCCAGGAGCGTAAGAAGAAATTAAGAAGACATATTAAGATAGCAGCTAGAGAAGCACTGCCTTAGGGGACAGTTCCCGCCTTGAAGAAGGACTGGTGTAAAGTCTCTTGCATTCACTGTGGGGTTGGTGACTAAGTCACCAATATGACAGGTGTCAGGGCTCATGTGTAGCATCGGGACCCGTGTCCCCCACTCTGGCTCTGCAGCTTGCTTCCTTTTAAAGAGCTTCCAATTGAGCCGGGCCTTCAGCTCTAAAAATGACAATAAGTCACAGGTCCTCTAGGTCCTAGAGATGTGCCTTCAGAGGTGAAGCCCACCAGATGACCCTAGGCTACCTGCAGATAAAGGATGTCCTCAAGGCCACAGCTCCAAGCAAACTCTCCTTGGTCCCCCCAGGCCACCTCTTTATCCTCAGCTTGTCACTTTGGCAGTCCTGACTGCCTGTGTTAACCCTGCTGCCTGCTCCCCTCCTTTACCTCCTCACCTCCATCCCCCGAAACTGCACAAGACAGAAAGGGCTTCATGGGGCAGCTGGCTGAGTGAATTCCCTAGCTCTACTGGATCCAAGGCACTAAGCTCTGCATTCTAATAGGAATGTAGATATAGTCCCTTAATAGTTTTGGGACAAAACACACACACACACAAATAAGGTTAGTAAATGAAAAGGCAAAGTGGCAAATGCTACCACAGGCAGTCGGGAGAAAGGAGCACAGGCGTTGAATAACACCATTTTAACAATTTATCAGGCATTTACTATGTGCCACGTCCTGTGCTTGGTATTTTATCTACCTTACCTCATTTAATCTTCTGAACATTCCAAGATGAGGCATTATTTTTCATCCCCATTTCATAGATGAGGAAATAGGCACATCAAAGCAGTGTAATGCCGTAATTCCTCAGCAGGTTCAGGGCAGAGCCATATCCAGGTTAGGAACAGTGAAGCTCTAGACCAAGGCACTGGGGTTGGCAGTAAACTCTCCTGTGCTCCATACTGATTCAAAATTTGGTAATAAGTTAGCGGAAGATATACTAAGGTTTGATGTTTTTGAGCTATTAAAAAACAATTTAGACCTGGCATGGTGGCTCACACTTGTAATCCCAACACTTTGGGAGGCCAGGGTGGGGGGATCACTTGAGGCCAAGAGTTCAAGACCAGTCTGGGCAACATGGCAAAACTTCCTCTTTACAAAAAATACTTTAAAAATTAGCTGGTCTTTGTGGTGCATGCCTGTAGTCCCAGCTACTCGGGAGGCCGAGCTGGAGGACTGCTTGCCCGGGAAGCGAAGGTTGCAGTGAGCCAAGATCACACCACTGCACTCCAGTCTGAGTGACAGAGTGAGACTCTGTCTCAAGAAGAAACAAAAAACAACCTTAACCCCTGCCAACAATTTAAGAAACTATTTATGACATTGAGTTAGCAGGATTGGAGGGTACTAATGTAAGCTGATTAAAAGAGCAAATTGTTTTCAGACACTCTGAATGTGCATGAAGACATTCAATCTGTTAATTTACCAAGAATTCTTATTTATATCACTGAAAATAGGTCTTCAAAGTCTCTGTTTTTCAGCTCTCATGAAATACTTGGCAAGAATAAATGAGTTTTTTCCTCCTGCTATTCTCCCATTTGGGGATTTTTCAGTAATCGGGCTTGGTTTTCCCTCAGTTTATCCAAATGAGTAAGATTTTCTTATATCTGAAATTGGTGAGGAACCAGCCTAAGTGGGGTGCCTGACACAAAGGAAAGCTTACAGTAAATGTTTGCTCAATGAATGGATGGATCTGTAAATCTTAATTAACCGAAATCCAACTTGGTTAGCACTGAGGCAGGCAGCTTGTAAGTTGAACGTAGCCGTTTTCACTGGTTGGACAGGAATGATGGGTAGGCAGAAACATTGGCAGGACTTGACCTTAACCCAAAGAATGAAGAAGGAGTAGTCACAGGTGGCCCAGGTTCACCGTTTTGTGGCAACTGGAGAAGTGATGGCGTTGTTTTAAGTCCACTTTAATATCTTGGACAGACTTCAGTTGAGAATTTTATTAATTAACCCTGATTACATATGATAATATTAAAAGAACTGGGAATGGAGAGGAATTCACCCATAGTCCCAGTATCCTAATACAACTACAAGTCCTTGCCTTCTATATATATATTTTTTATAGTTAACATCACAGTGTGTGTCCAGTTTTGTACTTTATTTTCCTAGTATTTCAGATCTATAAATCAGTAGTCTTAACTACTCATTATTTTCATTTCAATGTATTTCAGCATTAACTTCTTTGCCTAACCAAAGAGCTTTACTCTATTTGACCAGCAGGTGGCACTCAAGAACAAGCAGTTCTTCTCTACATGGTGAGGGTAGACTAGCAAACACTCCCTTTAATCTGATTTGAGAACAAAACACAGATAATAACCTGAAGAACTGTATGAAAGAGCAGAGGTCCTCCTGCTCTTTACAAATGTGTCAGAAATCTGTATGCATGTAGGCATTTAATTTTATAGAATCATTTATTCTACTAATATTTATTGAACAACCACGCAAGGCACCAGACATGCAAAGATTAAGCAGATAAACTTCCTGCCCTCAAGGGGTTCCAGGTGTAATAGGGGAGACAGATTTGTAAATAACCAGAGTCCAGTGGGGTAAATGCAATGATGGGGCCCAGGAGGGAGGAGTGAGCACCTATTGTTCTGTGGAGGGAGAAAGGTTAAACTTTATAGAGAAGCTGCAAATCAAATGTGAATAACAATATCATCATAAATATAATGTTTTTCATGCAGTACAAAAGACTATAAAATGAAACTTCTAGAGGATTATCTAGACTCCCTCCTGCAAAGCCACCGTTAACAACATTTAGGTTTTTTTTTCTTCTTCTTGAAGTTAGTAAATAATTTTGAATGGTGAATGTAAGCTTTGTGAGG